GCATCTTCGGGGCCACCCACAAACGCAAAGTCAAGTGCTGGTGGCTGCTAGCCTGCTGCTGATGCTGCTGATGCTGCTGATGCTGTTGATGCTGCTGATGCTGGTGGTGCTCCCCTGCTCCCTCTAGCGCTGCTGCTGCTGCGGTGTCTGCCGCCTCAGACTCGCCAGTGAACCAGCGCTTCGGCTGTATGGAGGCAGCAAAGGACCCCACGCGTGACGCCGACTTGTGCGTATCGCGAGCCCCCTTGTCTGTGCCTTCTGCTGCTGCTGCGCCTGCGTGGGCTTTCTGGTGCTGCAGCTGCTGCGGGGTCTTGAGCTTATGCGTGGGCATGATAGAGTGCGGCAGATAGAAGTCTGCAACAGCAGCAGCAGAACAAAACATCAGCCGCTCGCGGAGAGGCGCCGCCCCGGCTGCAACTGCACGCACAATGAAGGCGTAGTCCACCAGCGTGCGGTATGTGATGCAGATCAACCGGTTTCTGCAGTGTCTGTACAGCTCATATGCTGCAGCCGCCTCGCGGCCGTCGAACTCCCAACCCGACGCGTCCATCGCCTGATCTTCTACTCCCTCGTCGACTCCACCCGGCCCCAACGGCCCCCTCAAAACTACTCGCCAGGGCAACTCCTCACCCTCAGTGTCTTCTGCTGCTTCTGCTTCTGCTGCCACTTCTGCTGCTGCTTCTGCTGCTGCTGCTTCTGCTGCTCTGCCGGTTGACGGCGAGGCCCCCGCAGGCTCCACCGCTGTGCTTCCGTTTTCATCGGTCGTTGCTGTGGGGTCGCTGTTGCGGACAGAACCAACAGAAGTAATGACTCGCGCACCCCCCTCTACCTGCTCCTCGTACACCGCAGTAAACGTCTCATACGCCAGATGCCGAGAGGTGACGGGTAGCGGCGCACTCGTGGTGCTCTCCTCGCTCCCAGACGCATCCACCTCCGATGAAGGCTCCTCAACGATGGGCTCCCGCAGCTGCCGCTCCTGCTCTTCCTGCTGCTCCTGTTGCTCCTCTTCCTTCTCCTGCTTTTGCAGGCTGCTGAAGGAGATACGGTCGAGGATGTGAGGCATTGGATGGGCAGGCAGCAGATGGCGGACGAAGGGCTTCAAAGCTCGCACAGAGGTGACGAACACCACGTAATACCCCAGGCGTAACAACTGCTCACACAAAGCAGCGCCTCGCGCCCCCGAACTTGTGTTGGTTATGTACCGAACCGCCTCCCGCTGCAACGCACATAGACACACATATACAAATGCCACACACAATGAGGCTCCCTGCAGCAGCAACACACGACGCAGCTGCAGCAGCCGACGCACGCAGCGGCATCTGCAGTGCCATCCGCAACGGCGCCATCATCTCGGCTCGTCATCATACGCCAAAGGAGAAGTGCTCAGAACTACATATATGCCCAAAAGACACCGGAGCAGCAGCAAAAGCAGTAGCAACGGCCTCCGGCGTCCTAGTTTGGAGCCCTTGTAACGCGCAACGCACGAAATGTGTAGTTATGGCGGAGGAGCAGCAGAAGATAGTAGCATTAAAAAGAGTACCTCTAAAGGGACATCTGTGCCCCCTGAAGTGATGATA